TAGGAGCGAAGGATACACCCAAAAAATATCAGTTTAAATTTTAGTTACGAAGGTAATCATACATAACTGAATATATAATGTTGAAAAAATAAAACCACTAATACCAGAACAGAAGGTTTGGGATCTATCATACTAAAGATTCAGAAAAAATAGTGACATTCGTCAGATTTAATTTAAAATTACTTCATTTTTCAAGCAACAACGGCTTTACAATGAGATGAAGGGAATTCTGTTTATAAACGTAAATTTTATCACAAAAGTATGACAACGTTCCCACTTAACAAAATAATTGTCATTAAAATTCTAATATTCGTTGAGTCATGACATCAGCTTTTCAAGTAAATAACAGTTTATTCCATAATTCATCATTTTCCAATCGCTTTCCACTGGAAAATTTCTTAACGTTTGGGAAAGTTAGAAATCTGTTGGTGCTAAATCAGGGTTGTATGGCGCATTTTCGAGTCAATGGATTAGTTCAGAATGCGGTGCCATACAGTCCCAACAAAGCACCATTCGACATTTTTTCTTTATTTTATCTATAACAAAAAAGTTTAAACATTTCTTAGCGAAAGGCGAGTCGAATGATGCATGAACCTTTTAGCATTAGATCCTTGGAAGGTCATAGAATAATACAAGCCCGAGTTAGGAGACTTCAATTGTATTATCTTAAGAGAAATAACTGAAACTTGGCACCACTGCACAGTGGTCTTATCCACTGGTGTTTAGATAATTTGAGTATTTTGGAGGACCTAATGCCGCTTTGTGATCTGGAGGGTATTCCGGTAGAGGACACATTTTTTTAACTGATCTTGGATCAATGTGTCTTGGTGTCGGATATTCACGAATTAAATTTGATATATATATTCAGTATTTCTGGTAGGTGACTTATTGCTGGTTTATGAAAGGAGGACCTATCCACGTGGAGATGTAAATATATATATATATATATATATATATATATACAGGGTGACTTTGAAGTTGAGTCATTAATTTTCAGATAATGATTGTAGAAGGAATATAAACCAAAATATGTGTGTAAAAATAAAAAAAAAATTAAAAAAAAATTTTTACCTTGTTTTATAAAGTATCCTCCCGACAAGTATTTCAGTGCGGACCTGTATTTGATCGTGAGGTCCCCTGTGAGGTCTTAAGTCACCTGATTCACGAGCCCGTTGTACTACATTAACAAAGGCACGAGGGGTTGGTTGCACTCGATTGGGAAACCGATCCGCATAAACATGTGCCATTTTTTATTTCGTTTGAGCCACGCAACAGATACAACTATTCACTGACACTTACTGTATACAAATGAATGAAATAATTCGTTCCAAATTCTTTCGCTTTTTTGTTTCCGATGCGATGAACCGATACGACGGATTATATCCGTTGTCGCCAAACACGAGCACATTGAGACAGGGCGGTACTCAAACTTCCAAAGGGCTATAACTTTGTTACTTTAATTTTACCAGAAAAATGGTAAAGGAAAAAAACATTTCTTTTGATCAGATCTACTCACTGTTAAAATAAATGACTCAACTTCGAAGTCACCCTGTATATATATATATATATATATTTACATATATATATATTTACACATATATATATATATATATTTATATATATATATGTTATATATATATTTATATATAACAAAAATAGGAAAATAATGGGCAAAATCCGCAAAAAGTGGATTTGGGCAGAATAGGATAGGTAACCCATAACCCATAACTCATTTCGGGCCTGATGAAGCCAATCAGTAGAAATACGTATCGCTCGGGTTACCTATCCTATTCTGCTCAAATCCACTTTTTGCGGATTTTGCCCATTATTTTCCTATTTTTGTTATATACCTTTCTCCGCATGATAATTTACTCTTCATATTTATATATATATATATATAACAATTAGGATACGATCGTAACGTTAGCAGAAGTGACAAAACGTCGAAATCGCGTTACTTTGGTTGAGAACAGTGACTTACCGATTGCAGAAGAATCTAACCATTATAAGGTGGAGGTCGTCAGACTTTTTACTTACCTCCGCACAAATAATATTTAATTCCATATGCTACCTGTACATCTAGTCCCATATGAACCCGATTCAATAATTATTGTTTGAAAGGAAGAATTTTTATAGCATTTTCAATCTTATACGAACCTCAAACTTCAATATCCAATATCTCGACGATGTTGCGACTCATACTACGAATTTATGAAACCAGCTATCTATTGGAACCGTAAAGTATATCAATTCGCGTCTATAGCCATCATGTGATGACTTGGTTAGACTAAATAGCAGCATTCTGTTGGAACTAACGAATTTGGACTAGGTAGGATCAAGCAAACGGTTTGTTTGTGACCAAAATTAAGTACATACTCGGTAATCAGGATGGAAGTTAACTCATGATGTCAGTCAGCCGCCAGTTTGGCAGTGGTTGACATTTCACATTAAATTCGTACAAGTGCTTGGGTTTCATACAATCCTAGTGTTCCAGACAGTTGCTGAAAATAGTGAAGGTTTCTGTCGATTGCAAAAGTAGTTTAAACTGCGTAAAAGCGTTTATTTTTATCGATAAGTATTATATACAGTATCGGACAAAATTAGAGAGACTAGACTAATTATGACTTTTTGGAATACAGAAAAAAATTGAATTTTTGTAATTGACCCAATAATATTTGCCACTAAGTAGTTTCAAATGATACTTAAATAAATTCATAAACGTTGTTTCCAAAGATTTATTAGAAAAAATAAAAAAATATAAAAATTCTATGCGACAACGTTAGGAAGACTTATCCAATGAGATTGGAAATTACAGCTGAATGCCTTGATTTTCAAGCATTTTCAATCTCTTCAAATGTCTGAGCACGATTACGGTGGCCATTTTAAAACTTGAATTTGATTTGCCACAAACCATTTCTTCACAAGTTTGGCAGTATGTTTGTGGTCATTATCATGATGGAACGTAAACTCTAGCCATTTCCCATTCGACATAAGGCAACATTACATCTTCCAATATAGTACGATATATGAATCGATCCATGGTACCAGAAACATATTCTGGATCAAGTGTCTTATTTGCTGAACGATGTATGAACTGCACTCCGTCACTTCCAAAAATTAGACTCGTCACTGAACAAAACCTTGTTCCAGTCCTTAGCTGTCCAGTGGCGGTGACGCGTTGAAAATATCATCCTAGCAATCACCTTTTTTTTATAGATGGGGTTGTCTAGTTGGTCTTCTTCTAAGGAGCCCCGGCTCCACTGATCGCCGCTGAACAGTCCTAATGAAACTCACGGAACATCCAATTGAGCAAAAATTTGATTTGCAGACAGCCGCGGGTTCTTCCGACTTAAACGCGTAATTCTCCTGTCCAACTGTTTTGAAGTTTTTATCTTCCGGCTACCTTTCTTAAGGTTAACAACCCTTCCACGGAGTAAAAAATTTTGTATTGTTCTTGAAACCATTTGCTTATTTACATTATATTGCTCTTTTATTAATTTTTGGAGGGACCTGATTTATAAGCTTCTTTAATTATTCCTTTTAAATCTATGGAATGATGTTTTCCACGAAGCGTTGCTAATAATTTTTGTTGTTGTTTCAATCCAACACTTGACCAACTGCACCTCAGCGAAACTAAATACAAAACGAGCCTCTCTAATTTTATCGCAGGTATTTCTTTATCAATACAAAAAAACCCTAAAACAAAAATACCATCAGGTACACAATTTGTTCATGATCAAATTCTTTTCTTAATACACTGCTAACAAAAATTGATATTATTTTAAGTACAGAAAACTGGAATGGACAAATAGCACAGTCTCTCAAATTTTGTCCGATACTGTATTATAGTCTTCTCCGTTGCAAAATGGCGGGCTTTTACTTGGACAGTTGTGAGGTAATTTTGATTTATCTCGTTTGACTTCTTGTTTTATTGATCACGCAATACCAATTTAAGGTTTGTTAACAGAATTGTATACCCAACAACATTGAAAAATACAAAATATTGGAGATAAACCAAATTTTTTGACGGATATTGAAAAGGGCCAATCGAACATTAAACTAACTAAACGATCAAGAAAACTATGGATATGAAATTAATTCATCATCATTCATTAATAATATTATGCTCATCTAGGTGTTTGTTTTTAGCCAAGAATTTGATCGGATCACGACAGCTCTTTAGAAAAACCGCGTATAATTCATGCACTGTTCTCAATAATAGGTATTTCGCTATTGTCGCTGATTGCGGGAGAGAATGTTTCGTATTGTTCACCTTCCAAAATCACGAATTAAGCAGAATAATTGTTCATATGCAGTACCGTTAATAAATACTTAGTTTCGTTTCTTTCCATTATTTAATTTATTCCTGATTATTAACAAGAACTAAGCGATTCACATCGCAGCACAGATAGTATTTCTGCCTTGCTGTACGTGAGTGCACCCAGAAAGAATAGCTACTCCAACATCCTTTCCAGAGAAACGTATGTACGCGATGTATTAGTTCGTCACGTTGGTAGGCAAATTAGCTAAAAATATACTAAAACTACACGATTTTGGCAACAAAAAATGCAATGTAAACATATAGGCTTCTCATCTATTCGAATTTATTGGTTCGAACTGAATCTCAGTTTGAATCCAAATGGCAAGTAGACCATCACCTACTATATCGCCAGAAAAGGCAGAATCAAGAAGCCACAATGAGAACTCTACTTTCCACGCGAACTGAGATACTTTACAGTTCCAATAGATAACTGCCGTTTACTCTCGCAGTGGTCGATTTTGGGAATAGATGGCACTTTGTGCTGTCGTATTTGATAGACCTTATACCTCGGATAGATGATACTTTGCTCTGCTTGCACTTGTTGTCCTACCTAGAGACCAACCTCAGACTGACCTGATGATTGCCAATAAACTTAAAACAGATGTACAGGATTGGCCCTTTGTTGATGAGACGTTCGATAGCAGTATTATTAAGAAACCTAACATTTGCGCATTTTCAGCTGCGTCGCCTTTAATACGAGAAATGTTGACAGTCAACCCAAAAAACCGGGCCAACATCGAGAAAATCTGCACGCATTGGTGGGTAAACGAAGGCTACTCAGAAAGCTGTTTAGAGATCTCCGAAGAACTGGCCAACCAGACTCCAGTGCGGTTGGACGTCCTTCTGTCTTTGGCTCCTCCCCCTCCACAACTGGAAAGCGAGAAATTGATGCTTACAGGCGAGGGAGATGTATCAAATGTGGAAAATATTGCCCCCACTAGGTCACAGTCTGTTGGAAGTCTTATGGAGCTGGCTCATCCAGAAAGGTACATTAAATAATTCCTCAAAGCACCCTGCCGACAGTGCGTGATGCGTACGTAATGCGTCAGTTTGACATGCAAATAGTACCCTTTATACTTCACTTTGTATTAAAAGTCCTTAGTGGTACCACTGTTTGGAATGTCAACAGCATTGTTGTTAATTCTAAAGAGTGAGAAGTCTCAAAAATGCTGGAAAAACATCAGAAATGTCATGGTTTTGTAGTTGTTTAGTATGTGTAAAAGTGGCGAAACAGTTTCAGACAAGAAATTAAGAGGAAGAACAGTGTGCAATGAGGGAGATATTATAGGACCCCATTGACTGGCAGAATCAAAACGGCATATATATGTAGATTTCAGTTTATTTTACGACGTTTCGACCACCAATTTGGTATTTTTCAAGTACAATTAACATCTGTGACAATATATTTTGTTCTTTGTCTCTGTCTACGTGACGTGTCTCTCTTTCCCTTATCACATTGTTATACAGTGTGTTACTACAATAGTCTAAGCAGTCTTGTAACATGTTGAGATTGTGCGAAGTCATCATTGAAATTTTAAAATGGTACCGCCTAAAATAGCAAAGCTTAGGTCCACCTGGGTAGGCATTCCCGCTCCCAAAAGGACGTTCAGCCCCCCAAATGTACAAGCGAGCATGAGGTTATCTGACGGTGGTCCTGGGCTTTGTTGATTTTGCGCAGTGCCATCTTGAAATTTTAATGATGGGTTCGCACAATCTCAGCATGTTACAGGACCGCTCAGAATATTGTGATGAAAGAAAAAAGGAACGTAAGGTCACCTGGAAGACAAATCAAAATATATTGTCACATATATCAATTGTACAATAAACTGAAATCTAAATATATATGTCGTTTTGATTCGGCCAGACAATGGTTTCCTATGAACATGGAAACTCAGGATAAGTTTAAGCAGTTACATTAACAGGATATATTGTAGCTTCTCAAGGCTAAGGTATTTTTTGATTGAGCATTGCTGCGTGTATTTGGGATAGAAAGAGTCCTCTATGCGAGCGGGCAATAGCTAATTCACCAGGAATAGACGGAGAAGGCGCCCGCATCACGAACGCTCGCGCCTGCGGTTGGAAGCGATACTGATAAATAACGTGTTACTGGAACAGACAGTTCTACAATTCAATGTTTGAGTGATAATACTGCAGAATTGTAAATGAAATCACATGTATAATTCAAATCGATTGCAAATGCGTGTAAATAGAAAACCGACATTTTTTATGTGTTGTCCTAGTAACAATATTTTTTTTTAATTGTGAGCAGAAATGTATTTCTTCTTTTCGGATTCTCAAAAGCAAGGGCTAATAAAATATTCCGCTTATTTTAGAGATATCGGAATAACGGCTAAAATCTTCTGTTCAAAATACATAGGAAGTAATAAGAGTATGAAATGGTGGTGTATAGTACGTGTGCTGATAATAGAGGGAGTGAGTATGGGTGAACAGTTTCGTTTTTTATAAAGAAACTATCGCTTACTGCGACTTAGTACGGATCGCTTTCTTCAAATGGCACAGCCACAGATGGTTCTAAAAAGTATACAAGAGTGGTTACTATGGTTATCACTGTATGGATCTGGTATTTTCAGATGTTATTATATTGTAACTGGGGCTCTTAAACTTTGACCTTCAAACATATTGACATGTCTTTTCATGAGGAACCTTGTTGTAGTACATAGTTATCGTCTGAGGGCCTTATTAACATATACCATATTTATTCCAGGAGTATAATAGACCTATTGAAAGAAGACAAAGCCACTCCAAAACGAAAACTGGAAAACACCGTCAGCACAGACAGAGTAAACCTGGACAAACGGAAAGAGAAAATCGCAAAAGATAACACCGTGGCTGACATAACAGTCAGAGGCGGTGTGCTGAAAGAAGAGGATTCAACAGAGGATGCCAGCATGAGTGAACTTGCGCCGTTGATCAAAAGTACCACACAGACCTTGTCCAAGGAGATGGACGTTGAACAGACTGAACTGACTGTGGATCCGGTGATGCAAGGAGCTGCTTGCCAGGAGATTATTGAGGAGGCGGAGAGGAAGAAACCTAGCAAGATTAAGAAGACTTTAAGTGTCGCCAATAAGGTAAGAAAAACGGACAGGATTAAGATAACAGCGTAAATAGATCTAGAGAAATAGAAACATGGAAACATACACCCGAATGAGATTTTTTCTTGAGTGTCAAACGTCGGGATTCAAAAAAAGTCACGTGGTCGTACCAGTACTTGAAGGGCATAAAGTGGATAAAAAATTAGCCTTAGAATTTTGTACGTGTAGTACAAACATCATGAGCCAATACGAACAACAATTTACATACCTGATACTGTACCAGTGGTGTTGAAATTGGGAAATTTCGACCTCCACAGATAGAAGAGTTGCTTTTCGGAATGTTCTTGGAAAAAACGTGCGAAGATCTTGGTTTTGTCTATCAGTCTCATGTCTAAAACAAAGTTAACTTTGTGCCGGAACATTTAATGCTATGAAGAACCTAGGAACATGTAAACTAGAAAGCATAACTATAGCGCCACCAATAACTTTCAGCTCTCTTTTGCTCGCGTCAATTGCAACTTAATATTACTTCTGTAAGTTGGTAGAACAATACATACAATGCAATATATATGGAGCTTATTATATTATTTAACAACAACTTTATCGCTGTAAGTAATATAAAGCTACATTTAACCAACTTGAAAAACAAACACAAAATTGTGTGGCTATAGTTATGCTGACCAATGTATTTTAGGAAATGAATGTATAAAATTATTTAATAAATGGCAAAACAGACCTCGGAACCTAGAGAAAAACTGTTAATCTCGATCTCGTTCGTCAGTCTAATCTCTAAAAACGGAGTTAATATTGTGATGAATAATACCGAGAGCATTAAAAACATTGTTGCGCTGAAAATGGATACATTCACAAACCTCTTTGATACATCAAAAGCTGTCTAAAACATAAAAAAAAAATAATAATTGAACTGTGCCCACCTTCTATTATTCATTCTACTCCCTTGTTTTCAGTAATTCTCCTCAGGGTGCGAATACTGCGACTGTTTGGGAAGTATTTGGTTATGATATTTAATTTTCTATTTCTAGGCACTGGAGGGGATAAACGAAAATCCCAGCCAGGAGAATGTTACTGAAAACTTGAATAAGGAGAACATTGTTGAAAAGACTGAAGAACTCCCTAAGGCGGATGAGGAGAAGAAGCCCGCCACCGAGAATAAAGTGCCTGTAAAGAAGAAAGTAGTTAAGAAAAAGGTGCTCAGCGATAAAAACGAAAACAAAAAAGAAAAGGAAGTGTTACCTGCAGAAACACCTGAAGAGAAATCCCAAGAAAAAGCCCAACCAAAACCAAAGCAAGATAAGAAGGCACCAAAAGACACTGAAGCTGAAGCTCCTCCTAAGCCTGTAGAAAGGAGGAAGTCTAGGATATTTGAGGCTGCAGAGAAGTTCCAGAGTATGTTGGCACCTACGGATTCCAAGCCAATGTTAACAGAGAAAGAAAAACCAAAGAAGGTGAGTTATGTCATAATTGGCACATTAAACAGAAGTTAAAACATATAATTTGGCTTGATTTGGACAGGCAGTGGAGTCTTAATAAACACCCAAAATCGTTTTTCAGTATATTTGGGAACCTTATATTTTTTAGTGCACTAAGTTTTTTATGGTCCATCCTTTTCTAACATCTCTTTTGAATGAGTTTCAACTTTCTGGTCACTTCGGGGCGTACGCAAACATTTTCAACCAGATGATTCTCACATTTTCTGAGTTATCACTAAAGACAGAATAGTCGTCTTAAAATTCCACGTAGAATAAAATCATTGCATGGGAAGTACAAAGCCAATCTACTCGACTCCATCTCATTCTTCTAAAAAGGTGGTAAACTAAAAGAAATGTTCCATTACTCCACTATTTATATTTTCAAATCTGATGAGCTGTTCTGAAAAATATGCTTTGGTTACTTTTTTTGGTGGTGCATTGATTTTTACTTCCGAAAATGACTTACGTTTTTTATATGTTAATCAAAAAACCATATCGCTCATCTCCGCCGGTCTATAATTTGGTAAGTATCGCTCAAATTTTGATGAAATTTTTTTCATAAGGTTAGTACTATGTCAAGGACGGATAAGCTTTCTAAATCAGAACGGCTGTTTTTTGACGTTTCAGAGGATCTTGATAACATTTCAAAAAAAAATTGCAAGTATTGATAATTATTGGGTGTTGTAGGGTAAATTTTTTGTTGCTAGCATACGTCATAGATTTTCCCGTACATTTGCCCTCAAAACTTCAATAGAGATATATTTTCGATATTCGCGTGCCAGACAATTCAACGAGCGTACGCCTGCCGGCTTCAAATGCTGAGGGGTAACTGAATTATTAAATAATACGGAGTATAATATCAATGTACGCTGCCGTGCTGGTTTGCCGTACTGTCGGTAGGACGGTAGAATAGATTGCAATATTATCAAATCTGTATGTACTATGGACTAATTGCTTTAGACTGTTTGACTAACATGATCCATTTAATTCCTGTCTTATATATTTTCGTAGCCAACGTTTTTTCTAACAGTTACTAATTTGTGCCAAATATAGGATTAGGATCAGGGTCAACATATTTTCCGTTATTTTTTATAGATCCACCGATCCTACAACATAACTTGATTTTTTGAGAATAATTATTTACTATTTATTTTAGGTGATCATACCCGGTGTGAGTGTGGATGGATTTAAAAAAGAATTCGAGCGAAAAGCAAGTATAACCTCCGCATCGCCTCCTAAGTTGAAATCAACCAAGAGCGTTGATGAAAATAACTCGGTTGACAATGAGCTAGCAGAAGAACAGCAGCAGAAAACTTCTGGGACACAAAAAGAGGTAATTTTTTTTTATTTTAAATATTTGATTGATGGCGGTAATGTCGGCGAATAATCATTTGTGTGTTGTGTGTTAGATAGTTTTGTGTAACCATTGGGTATCTAGATCTTCCATTTTCTAACACTCTTTTGAACGCTTTTTCTTCCGTAGTTTCACTCAAAAGCTCGTAGCTTATGAAAATCACACAAAACGTCTTTCTCTTAACTAATTTAATTAAAAAACTGTTAGCATTTGATAATCACACCAAAGCTTCGACAAAATTATAAAATGATTGGTGAAAATGACCTGTTTTAAAACAAAATTATAACTCATGAAATAATCTCTATCGCTTATTTGACCTCTCTAATATGACGATTTCCTCCAAGGCTGTGATACAACCCGATCTTGAAAAGACTGAGGATGATCGGCAAGAACTTGTTCGTAATGCTGTTAACATTATATCCAGCGTCTTAAATAAAGAAAAAGAGACTGATGGAGTTATTCCAGTAAGTTGCCTGTTTCACATTCAGTGCTGCGTCTTTTTTGTTTGTCTGGCATTCGTCAATAAAATTTAAAAAAATACAGTGGTTAATACTTTACTTTTATTCGAGGCCAAGGTGCAATAATGCCTCAAAATGTATTTTTTCATCATTTTTAGCAGAGTATCAAAAATGAGTCCATTTATTGCGCGTCAACCTGTATTTTAAATTTCTCTAAGCTGCTAAACCGGTTCATCATTTTCCAAACATACGTAAGCCTTGACAGCTTTATTTTTTTTGGGAAAATATCAATACCAGAAGGATGCTAAATATTCCGAAACAAAAATCTTTCACGATAACCAATCGTCATTGTTCGTCGAAGAGCTCCGGTGGACCTTTGCTCTTAGTTAAAAGTTTCGTCGGTCTGTCAGGTTGTCAAGTCTGGCTACCCAGATACCAAACATGTTCAAGGGGAAAAGGGAAAGAATGAAAGAAAGGAAGGAAGAAATAAAGCAAAGAAAAGAAGCAAATCGCTTGGAAGTAGAAAACGCTTAAGTCTTATTGGTTTTGGCTACTCGAATAATTTTGTAACTCCAAAATAATTTCGATCGGTTTTGTATACTGGAATAATTTTGGTTGGTCTAATATTCAAAATTTAATTTGGATCACAGTGCGACGCGCGGCCTGGAATGTTTTCGAACTTGCTCGACTGTGTAGTCTACTGAATCATGCAAAAGTTTCCGTTTGATTATAACGCCGCTGTGCCTGTTGTTTTACGTAATCCCTTATATATGGGATGTCAAGATCTTTGTGAATGGTATTTTTCATTATATGTTAATGTTAAGCTTTTTTCATAAAAAACAAGTGGTTACGAGCTTGAAAAATGTGTATCGTCTAATCGAAATAAATGACTATAATCATTGATTAATATATTTATTCTACCTGAAGATAGCCAACCTGATGCTATATTAGTGCGTCCAAAAAATTATCCGAGATAAAGTGAAACACTGTGGCGCCATCTATGAGAATTTATTGCAGTTGTTTCTCTATCTACGATCTGTGACAAATATAGCATTAGGTTGGCTATCTTCTAGTAGAATACGTTAATCAATGCTAGAATCTATTACTGTGATTTCCTCTAAGGTTGAACCCAAACAAGATCCCGAAATAATGGTTGAAGATATACATAAGGCTCGTGTCAGGCATGCAGTTAGTGTTATATCGAGTGTTTTATCAGATAAAGAGAGGGAATTTGGATTTAGTCCTGTAAGTTGGATGCACGTGTCACGTGTGAAGCGTTTTTCTGTCATACACAGCGTTTGTCAGTCCAACTGAAAACCCAGCAATTTGAGCACTGATCATTTATCGATAATACACTAAAATCTTACACGAACGTGTCTTGTTTTATTAGTTATATCATTAATTAACGTATTCTACCTGAAGATAGCAAACCTGTTGCTATATTCCAGCGTCTAAAAATTTATCCGATGTGAAATGAGATACTATAGCGTCATCTATGAGACTTTGTCACAGCTATGAAAACGTTAGTGCCTCTTAGATGGCCATGTAGTCAACTGTATGAGCGTATATTTGACTAAAGCGCCATTTATGGGACACTAACATTTTCAAAGTAAATTTCTAATTATTGCTGAGAGGTATGTCATTTCATCTCAGATAATTTTTTAGTACACTGGAATATAGTATTCGATTGGCTATCTTCAGGAAGAATATGTTCATCGATGGTAAAATATGCTTTGATATCCATAATAGTGTTATCTAATGTTATGTCCGTGATTGAGCTTTTCTGAACATACTGATTATATTACTGACACGTTTACTAAACAATGTTTGAAACATGTTATTGTGTTGAATCAACAAACAATACAGAGTATGTTACTATTCACAAAAAAAAATCGTCATAGTTGTATATGTTTAATTTTACTGTGTTTTATGGTGGATCTATAATACATTACTCCTAGCCATATCAGACCCGTGTTGTTAAATGGTAGTCATATATTCCAGTGAAACGTTTGTAGGAGCAACTTGTTTGAACATCTTTCAGCTCATTTATGGTGGGATCAAATGGAGAGAAGAAACACGTGGTAACGTTTCACTGGTATAGGAAGTATGTCTCTGTATTCACATTTCATATAAAGTAATTTGGAAGAAATTCAATTGTTATTTTAGTGTGATTCCATTACAGCTATTTGAGGCACGAATCCAGAAAAGAATGAACACACCTTTAACAAATTAGAGTATTTGATGAATATGGGATAATTAGTATGCACTGTAGAAAATGTAGGAAACTCTGTAGAATTACCGAATCTGAAGATATCCAAGCTAATGTTGTATTCCAGTGTTCGAAGCTATCCGAGATGAAATGAGAATTTGTCACACATATCTGTTTCCTCTCCGCAATAATTAGAAATTACTTTGAAAAGGTCAGTGTCTCATAGATGGCTCCGTAGCCATCTACAGTGATATCCATTTACCACCGACGTCGTAATGTGTACGACAGAGAAACGCGAGAAGCGGGCAGTACGTGTGTTAGAAGGAGATAGAAGCACCTCGTTGCCTAGCAACCCGAGTGACGAGGCCACGGACTCGGATGCTTCTTGCCGCGTTGCCATCGGCGCGCTCTTTCTAACGTACATATTGCACGCTTCTCGTGCTTCTCTATCGTACACATTACGACGTCAGCCAAATTTGAACCTCACCGTATATCATATAGTTGACTGCAGCTCCAGCTATGAGGCACTAACCATTTCATAGTAGATTTGTAAATATTGCGAAGAGGAGAAACAGATGTGACAAATTCTCATAGATGACGCCGTGGTATCTGATATCTGACTTAGATCTATGAATGTCTGTCAACAGAAACGTGTACCGTTTAATCTGCTAGATCCCCGTGAAGTCAACGAATACTTTTTAAGTACTTTTATGCCTGCCGATCAAAACCTCAAAGTAGTACAATCCACTGTCAACAGCTACAGCAACAGACGCTTCGATCCTGACGTGTCATCATTTCACTTTCGTCTGGTAACCCCTCGTGAAGTTATGAATGCAGTCTTGTCTATCAAGTCTGAAGCAGCGGGTTGTGACGGCATCACTCTAACTATGCTAGGCTTATGCCTGCCTGAAATACTTGATCACATCACGCATATTATTAATATTTGCTTAGAGAGGGGCGTTTTCCCATCCAACTGGAAGGAGGCAATAGTCACACCTCTAGCCAAAAGTAAGAATCCGTCTGAACATGCCGATCTTAGACCTATAAGTGGTTTATGATTCTTGTCGAAAGTCTTGGAGAAGTTAGTATACGAACAGCTTGTTGAGTATTTTGCTAATAATAATTTCTTTCCAGTACACCAATCTGGTTTTCGTGAAGGTCACAGTACGACTACTGCACTACTACATCTTGCAGATGAGATACTTTCCAACCTTGACAACAAATCCGGCACGCTGTTGGTCATGCTTGATTTTTCCAAGGCTTTCGATACGGTCAATCATGAGATTCTTTTGAGTAAGCTAAAATATTATGGCATGTCGGAGGTTCCTTTGAATTTCTTCAGATCGTACTTAACTGATCGCACCCAAAGAGTGAAAACATCTAGAGGAACTTCTGATGCACAGTATCTGTCATCAGGAGTTCCACAGGGTTCAGTACTGGGACCTCTTTTATTCCTAGTATACACATTCGATCTGCACGAGTGTGTAGAACATTGTTGCATTCAAATGTATGCTGACGATACACAGCTAACATTTCGTTTCAATGAATCCAACTTACATCAAGCATCCTACAAAATTAACCTAGATCTTGACAACGTATTAACGTATTGCAATAGACACTGTCTCCGCATCAATCCATCAAAATGCACCGCGATACCATACTGTCCTAGACATTCAAATTACAACATCACAAATCGGGAAACCTTGTTTATCAACGACATAGATATTCCATTTTGTGATAATGCTAAGAATCTAGGTGTTATATTTGATTCAGATCTTCGATTTAACTTACATGTGAATAATATTATGAAGTCGAGTTATATGAAGATGAAGCTTTTATATTCTAGTCGCCATATTCTAAACTTTAAGTGCCGTAAAAAGTTGTGTGAAAGCCTCATATTATCAATTTTAGCTTACTCTTTAGTCCTCATTTACCCATGCCTAGACTCAGCTTGCAAGTCAAAATTGCAGAAGCTTCAGAACAACTGTTGCAGATTCATATTTGGGCTTAGGAAGTACAGTAGCGTTTCTTCAAAAATCAAGGAGTTACAGTGGCTCAGAGTTGACGGCTTATACAACTACTCTATGGCTTCATTGGTGCATAGAATTTTTAAAACTGGTAAACCCGTCTATTTGCTCTGTAAGTTGATTCCTCGTGGAAACCAAATTACTCTAAATCTGCGGCACAATGATCTACTTTCCATTCCTATACATCGTACGTCGGTCTTTGAAAGGTCCTTTACTTATAATGCGGTCAAGGTATACAATTCTTTGCCAGCTATCTCTAAGAGCTTAAGTTTGCAGCGCTTCAAGAAGACAGTCAAGTTGCACTTTCTGGACTCAGCACATTGAGTGATAAATTCATTTTGCTGAACGATATCTTGTTCTTTTGTTTCTTTTCCTTGTAGATGTTCATATTATATATTTTTAATGCATTCGTTACAGCTACTGATTCACGTTGTTATGCTAATGTTTTGTAATGTCTGGTTGTAGTATGGTTAAGTGGTAGAGTAGCCATGGCTAAACTTCGCCATACTATGATCATCTTTTGAATAAAGTCATTATTATTATTATTATTATTATTATTTCATCTCGGATAACTTTTTGGACGCTGGAATACAATATTAGGTTGGCTTAATTATTAATGGTATGAACCAGAACCGACGAATAGTAGAGTCACTGACGGAAAATGCTTTTATGCTCGGATTATTTCAGCGGTCTCGGAAACCTCAAAAATCAGCCCAACAAAACTGGTTAATGTTCAAAATAAGAAACTCCGTAGAGAGGCTGGTGTCAATCAGATTTTCTCATCATCGCATAATTTTGACATCATTACAGTTAACAGTTAACAGTTAACAGTTGACAGTTGACAGTTGACAGTTGAGAGACAGAGAGAGAGAGAGAGTTGTCAGGACGTTGCCTGGAAACGACACTTGGGGAGGAGTCCACCTTATATAGCGTACACGTTATCTAATAAACTTCTCCAGTTTCTTTCACTCTCTCGTACACATGGAAATCTAAAAGGGAAAACCACTTTGGCCAGCACTGTATTTTTCGTGAACTCATTGCTTTCGATAAAGGAACACTGTTCCTTATCACACTAATAGCGACTACATACTTGTAAATAATCCACTAATTCCATTCATCTAAGTCATCGTATCATTTCTCAAAGGTCGAAAGCACACAACCGTCACCACAACAAGCTCAACAACAACCGGAAAAGACCGAAGGTGACCGAAACGAGCGCGTGCGAAACGCGGTGAGCATCATATCGAGTGCCTTAGATAAAGAAGGCACCAGAAAATCAAAGTCACGCCCGTGTATGATGCGTAAACCTCCAGTGCCCTTTGGCGTTGGAGGACGGTCGGCTTCTGGCAATATCGGCATGGTAAGTAAAACGAACGTTCCATCAATTTTGTAGCTGAAACAGAAAAAAAACATCTAAATCTCATTTGAAAACTTTGTGGTATAAAGCATGTTCCATACAGTGACACAAACTATTTTGACGCCAATGTGTATGACATTGTAAGTTCGTGAAGTCAGAATTAAAAACACCATGCAAAAATCCAAAATGGCATACAAAAGAGAAACTAAAGTTGATAATTGGGGACAAGATACAGAATTTTATATTGAAATTCTAACTTTGCCACCGGGCCACAACAAATAAAAGCGGTTTTTGAAAAATTCTGTTTTTTTCGTTCCTCCGGCCATTTTCGTTACCAAATCCGCAACTTTTGACCTCCTTAAACTTCATATCTTTCTATGTGATCCCAGTGATGAAGGTCGAATTTGAAACACTCGGTATGTTATTAATTGTGTATGGCAATAATACCTCAAAAATCGTTGGTTTACGAGTTTAATCAGCAGTCTTAGCAGTGAGTTGTCTTAATTAATACTTACCGATGATAAAATTTGTTTTTGTTAGATAAGTAGTCCATTGTCACCACCTCTTGGACCGAAGCCCTTCGTGAAGCCAGACTTCCAAAAGTTGGAAGTGAAACAGGTGGTGGACCAGCCAGAAACCAAAGAAACAGATGAGCCGAAGACATCATCAGTTGAAATCACACTGAAATCTGCTACCTTACCAAGAAGAAAGACAACAGGTACCTTGATTTTATACTGATAAACTCTTTATAACATACTTATAGATGATCCTGTATTAAATTGAAATTGCTCCTGAAATAAGAACAGAATTAGGTGGTTTTGAGGCCGAATTTATATTGCCATCTTTCAAGGAAGAGGTAGAGATTATTGGGGTATAATCTCGATCGAAGGCCGCTGATCCATGGTCGATTTTTGAAGATTAACGATTCGAGGTAAATCAGTGACATAACTGGCAATTTGTTGTCACTGATGACCCAGATCTGTACATAAATAAACTGAATTGAACGAAACCCAAATCGAAAATAGAAACACAAGGGATGCTGAAAAAGAAAACTAAAAGGGATTTCAAATGAAAGATATGATAAAAATGAAGGATTTACAATTCACGTTCAAGATTTGTTGATAATAGAGCTGCAAAAAGAAGAACGCATATCTTCAAGCGAAATTAGACGAATTACAAATAGAAAAAATGAAACAAAATCATTTGCAAATGTTGTGAAGTGCAACAGAGAAAATTAGTAAATCTAAATAAAGAAATGGACCTTACTGAACTCCCCACTTTATCTAACATCATTAATACAGAAATACTTGCAGAAGAACGACGAAGAGTCAAGGACACAACCATGAACAGAAATTCCGTCACTCCTTCTACAGTAAAACCAGACAAATCAGACCTATTTACACACAAAAAAGTGCTGAGCAAAATATTAGCGATCAGAAGGATGGGGCGGTAAAAATTGAGTGTAATAATGTTGATGCCACCACAAAATTGAAATTAGAAGTAGAAAAATTTAGAGCACACAGTGAGGAATTCGAAAAAGAAGGGCTGATTATACACTTGGAAGAAAGAATATTAAAAGCAACGATTCCACCATACAGGTAGTGGCAATTAAAAAAATAAATCCAGATATCAGGCAGTACTTGAATCAGATGAACACACACTTAAAATAATCATAGAATACGGTTTACTGTTTGCATCAATTGATGTGTGTACAGTGCTTGATTTCCTGACGTGTTTTAACTGCTCACGATTCCACCATACAGCTAAAAACTGAACAAAGCAGAGTATTAGAATAAAATGTGGTGAGTGTGGCTATCGGCCCCTAAACTGCGAAACACAGAAAAAGGCGAATTGTCCTAACTACAAGGAATCAAATGTGAGGTATAATACAAATTTTGACACAAACCACACATATTTCAACAAAATACGTGAAATTCAAATGGAATATAAACAATCCATATCATAGCAATTACATACAAAACAAGTGGCCAACTTATACCACTTGAACATAGGTAGATTAATCTAGAAATAAGGATACAAACAATTGCAATCTGAATATTTACTACTGGTCGCCAAGTGGAAGCGTCAACCAATTTATTGAGTTTTTTGAAAGTATATGTGAAAAACATTAACGCAGGAATTGCTGATATGCACATTTACGAGACTTAAGGAGGAGAATATACATCTATATAGTAAAGATTTCTGTTAGAAAATTTAAACAGATGCTACACTTATAGCAGAAAATGAATGAATATAATAGAATTACGAACTTTTCGAGAACAAAAATAGATATACTCATAACTAATGAACAGAACTAAAGTTAAGGATACCACAAAAATGAATGATTCCTCATGGACATGTTTTTAGTGGAAAATATGTTCAATGAAAATAAAATGAAAGAAATTACAGTAATTGATTTTACGAAGCTAGGAGAAACACTTTTACAACACAATATACCTGAAATTTTCAATAATGCTACTCTGAACAAATTATGGATAACACAGATAAATGTATGAAACAAGCTGTAGTCAAGAAAATAGTATATGAAAGATGTAAACGCAAAGCCCTGGTTTTCACAGATATTCAAGAAATCTAAATTAAAACGTGATGACGATTACAGAAAAATTTTAATAAGTCAAAGTGAAAATGACAGGAAATTATATACAAAATCAAGGAATGAGTGTATAGCAGTTCTCAGGAAGGAAAGGAAAAAAATACTATGATAACAAGATCGATAGCAATAAGAATTATTCTAAAATGATTTGAACACTGTTTTAGAACTGTTAAATAGTGATATTGATAAAATTATGAATTGGTTATATGTTACTAAACGTAAACACTAATAAAACAAAATGTATGTCAATAGGCAAACATTTAGGTGACAGTACAATTAGTGAAGTGACCTTAACTTTCGTTTTTAAAATGAAAACCTGTAAATTTTCTTTCATAAACGTACTCTATGCAAAATTCACTTTCCAACAATGTTTGTTTCTTTAAGATTTATTTAGCATGATTGCTACAATTACATTCTTCTGAAAAACTATACAATTACATAACATACAGATATTTAGAAGAAAAATCTCTAAGAATTTTCACTGTGCATGAAATATTCCTTTAATTTTCTTTTAAGCATCTTTAAATTACAAGTAGACTTTATATAATTATTTAGTTTATTAAATTCAAGTCATGCTTTCAGAAATATTGATTTGCTAGTTATATTACTATTGCAATTTTGTAAATGAAAATCTATATTTCCTCTTGTATAATAACTGTGGTAATGATTATTCAATTCTATGTAGTGTCCTAAATGTTGTGGCAAAAGATGATTTTTTATTTTAAATATAAAAATAAGGACCAAATATGATATGAAATTTTTTATTTTTAGCCACTGCAATTCTTGTAACATAGATTTTTTGTTGGTGTACTTATTTTTATTCAATTTTAAAAATAAATAGTAGTGGACCTAGTTTAGTACCTTGTGGTATACCAACAGAAACATTTTTGGAGCTTGATAATGTAGTTAAAATTTTGGTTTTTTGACTTCTGTCAATTAAATAGTTCTGTAGAATTTTGAATACAGATCCTTTAAATCCGTAGCGATGCAATTTTGTAAGTAATTTATCTCTATCAATAGTCTCAAACGCCCTTTTGAAGTCCAAAAATACTGTTAATGTATGTTTCCTATTGTCCATACATCTCCTCCAGTCCTTTAAAACCATTTGTGTTGCCGTTTCAGTTGAGCGTTTATTCCTGAATCCAGCTTTAAATTTGGTTAAAATGTTATTTCCCCCAATAAATTCGATGATCTGTTCGTAAATAATTTATTCAAAGATTTTTTGAACATCTGGCAGATCATTTATTGGCCGCATATTGCTGTACAACTCAGAATTGACATTTTCGTTTTAAAATGGCGGCGCTATAAAGGAATTTGTGGATAACCTAAAATCCGCCATATTGCTTACAATACAAGAAAATATTTTAAACTGTCAGGGTGGCGATGAGATCAAAATAAAAAAATATACTTTCAGGACAAGTAATAAAAAATGGTTTTATTTTCTATTTTATAATAACATACTCTAAAAACAACTCCTTTGATTACTACAAACTGAAATTATTAATATTATCCTGTTCTGCCCTGTTCTACCTATTTTGCCCAACTATTCTAGTTATAAAAAAATATTACAAAATTAAGAACTAAAAACTATTAAGCATTCATATTCAAGCTAATACAGTCCAGTGCGTCCTCCATTGTTTTATTTATTGACCCTTCTTATGGTTAATAAATGGAAAAGTCTAAAATGGTCAAGTCGGGTCATCGTAAGGGCCACCTAATAGGATTGTTTGTTCCTGGCCAACGGTTCCCGAATCTATTCGTTAAATATCTTAAAACTTTTCTACTGTTGTGGGAGGGCGCCGCATCTTGTTGAAATACAACATCCATATTGTCAGGCAGGGGCAAACCATCAAGAAAATCTTCTATTTAATTTTGCAAAAAGCTAAGATAATCTCCCCCATTTAAGAGTTCATAAAAAATATAGGACCAACTATGCGGGTTCCCAGAACTCCGAGCCACACGTTCACTCCAAAACGACCCTGAAAGGCCCCTTCTCTTATCAAACGTGGATTTTCAGATGCCCAGTAACGTGTATTATTTTTAATAATTAACCCAAGATTTGTGGAACGCAATTCATCAGACCACAAAATATGATTATGAAAATTTCTATCTTGTCGAAGTTGAGGACAAAACCAGTTACAGCAGGCCAATTTTCTTGGAAAATCATTTTCATATAAGTGGTGGTGTACCTGAGCGGAATCCATGTTTCTTAAATCTGCCTAGCTGACTCATGATTTACATTTTTTGCTTGTTCCAGTTGCCTAGTAGATACCGTTCAGTAAAAGTGAACATATGCCAAAACATTTATCTTCGCTTCTTCACTTACTAGGAAAGAGTTCTTTTCATCACGACTGACATCCTGATTTCTAAACTTTGCCTCTAACTTGGAGAAGTATGAATAACTTGGATGTCGTCTATTAGGATATCGCTCAGCGTACAACGCACAAGCATTTCTGGAATATTTTCTGCATTCACTGAATAATAGCATATCAACTTCCTCGTTTCTTGTAAAACTAATAGTAAAAAAATACTCTAGGTTTACCTTTTATGGAATAGGAATGCCAAACGTCAAAAAATAACAAAACAATAATGGGTTCGCTAATGCTATTTGTAAACATCCTAAATTTTCATAGCCTCCTTACTTTCTTGCGGCGATTGGTAGCTTCTATGAAATAGTTGTATTTTAATTGGATACTAAATCGTTAGTAGCTTGCAAAACATCATTTAGAACCAATAATAAAAAAACCTACTTTTTGTTTTGTAGTACCTGTAGGTTATAGACAAATTCACAATATATCACAAATTCTTTTATGCAGCTGTTATTTGACAACAAAAGTAATTCTTTTTATACATCATTGAATAGAGAACTTTACGTAGAATTAGATTTCTGAAAAAGGTATACAGGGTCCTATTCAAAATCTATCAGCATTCCTGTGTTGAAGATGTGGCTTCCTGTTTTTTTTTTCAAATAAGTATACTACCATGAGAAACACATATTTACAAGCCTTCGTTTATTTAGCCCGTTTTAATAGACACTTGTTGATCACGCCATCTTGACGGTTTAAAATTGTAAGCAGTATGGCGGATTTTAGGTTATTCACAAAAATGCCTTTATTTTATAGCGCCGCCATTTTGAAACGAAAATGTCACTTGTGACACATTGTTGGGAAGGGAATTTTGCATAGAGTACGATTATGGAAGTTTATTTCCCTCGTCTTAATTTCTACCAATCACAAACGCCCATTTTTGCATTACAAATTTTGTAGATGGAAAAATTGTATGACAGAACCTGTCAGCAGTTTTTTTCAGTTTACTCCCGGCAAAACTTGACAGCTGCTGTCACTAAAAATTACAATATCTGTGATAATAAGCAATTATGGTCTACCTACACCCAACGTGATTAATGAGTTAACAAAGATTTCAAACACTACTCCTACTGTGAACCAAAATTGCAATTTGTATTATAATTGTACCATAAATAATTAAGTTTGTAGTATTTTGTGAATAAATAAATTACCGGTTTTTCAGTTTTCAAATTAATACACACATATTTATTATGTATGCATGTATAATAGGTAGTATGTTTTGTAAGCTATGTGTATGCAGAATAATCTGTTACTCATGAAATAGTCTTGGCAAATACCATTCGGGCATCTATTTTTTTCCCGTGAAAAAAATCGAACACAATGCAAAGAAATATTTTTTTTAACATAAAACATTCGTGCAGGTGCAAATATCCTCGTCTTCGACTCGGTTTTTTGTTGCCACCAGCACTCGTGCTTCTTGTTAATTAAAACATTACTTAGCAACGTGTTTTTTTCGGGAAAATTGGATGCTTTTATGATATTACTTATGAAAATATATAGGTTTCCATTTGAAAAACGATAGTCAAGGTCACTTCCGGTTAACCCAGAAGGGAGAGATAACTCGTTCAACTTTCCAGAAATGAATCTTAATTTGCCAAAAAAATTCAGCATGTTTCCAATTTTCATTGTCACCTGGTATATATGGTTAGTAAGCTACTGTTTCAAGAGCAGCACTATGTATACATTATTTCAGAGATATCAAAAAAGCTAAATTAATCCTATAGACGTACCCATAATCTCAGCATGTATTCGAAAAAAATGTGTATAAAACGATAGTTCTTTCCCACTTTTTATATTGTTCAAATATTTCGTTATAGCAAACTTTCAAAACAACAAATTCTTCAAAATAAAGCTATGGGAATCATTTTAAATAAACACCAATACGCTAAGATTAAGTCTATGTTATAAAAACCGCAGTGACTGAATGTAAAAAATGTTATTTGTTATTAAGCTCTAATTTTTATATTCAGATTAAAAAATCATTTAGAAAACTTCACAAAATTAAACAGTCATTATTATAACTATGAAACTAGAGGCAGTATGGATTTTCATCTGCAAAATTTTAATAGTAGCATGACTAGCAAATCTGTATTTCAAAAGAGAGTATTTGAATTTAATGATCAGATATTAAACAGTATTTGAATTTGAAAATGTTTAAGGTGAAATTGAAAATCACTTGATGAATACCCAAAATGCATAAGCGATTTAATTTAAATAGATAAGAATGTAAAATAGAGTATTGAATCATCAAATGTGCAAAAGAATAGTTATACATAATTGACATTGTAGCATTAATGCCAAATAAATCTTCAACAAACAAATGATCGAAAAGACGCTGCCAGAACAAGAAAATAATAATGATAAAGACTCAAAGGCACTGTTCTCACCAAGCAACTTGATTTTAATCCGATTTCGACTTATGACACTCCAGGTAACGTTCCGATCGCATTCTCAAAAATCATTGATAATAAAAAAAATTATTTCTCTATCGCTTTTTTGTGTTATTTGAAGTGATTCAGGTGAAGCAGCAGTTTTGAATACCTTCCAGAAAATCTACATTTGATACAAGAAGTATGAAAAGCAAGTTAATAGTGTACGAGTGATCCTCAGACACCAGAAATATGTTTGCTACTTGTTTATTATTTTCTGCAGAACGATCATTGCACATTTGTTGTGTATTGCCAAAATATCAAAACGAGGGAAAATTGAGTAGAAGTCTAGTTGCTGTCGGATTGCTTCTGAGAACAGTGCATAAAATACATCAATACAGAGAACGAGGTAGTTTGTACGCAATTAGCTAACGATAGAACATTGTGTTTGTTACTTTGTCTCCAACGAAAAATCTGGAAATTGTCATTGTCTAAAGGTTTCACCCTACCACTTCTGTATTCCTAGGATTGTATCCACTTCAGTATGCAGCAACTAATAATTAATTTAATTTTGCTTTTTCCCTTTTTGTAGCTCAAATAAGTCTGAACTACCCAACCCCAAAACCAGCACCAATGGGCTTCAAGACAGAAATGGCTCATACTGTAGAAGCCTACCGACCGGAAATGGACCAAGTGGCCAAAACCAAGTCCAAGGAGAGGATCATTCCCATAGCAGTGGAAAAAGGGACCGAATCTACACCGGAACCTGTGCAGTCACCCCCCGCTAAACCACCCGCGCCCAGACCTGGGGGCTTCCAGACGCAGAGGTCAAACAGCTCGCAGAAGTAAGTCTCACGAAATTTTCAAATATTGGGTCAGTTGAATAAAGAAGTTAACGATCTGTTGTTTTTCTGAAAGTTTGTCAGTTTGTCAGTCGTCCCTGTAGGGCGCGTTTATGGCCTCCTTGATTGTCATACTCCTTTCTCTCCTTCAAAAATTTCTAGATTACACTTGTCCCGGGTCAGCGTCAGCGCTCTCCTATTGTGAAGATATGTTTTCTTTTTAAATTATAGGAAATTTCAGGCTGATAAAACATGATATAACTCAAAAGCAAGCACAATTTGATGCAAATAGATGTTTGTGACATAACCTCAAAATAGAGCGCTGACACGGAGAACTTTTTTTTTTATACTCCAACTACCACGGAGGCCTAAGGCCTAAGCACCCATTGGGTACCGTGGGGCTATAGGGGGATACATGGGAAAGAGGGGGACGCCACACAGACTCTGGCGAGGGAACACGTGTGCATGCAACATGCACACATTCTGGCTCCGCCTACGAGAACCGCCGGGTGGTACCTCCGCGTTCGATAGTCAGAGACCATTTACCACCTACGGACAATCACATCATCCATAGCCAAGAGAAAAATTTCTCCTGGGACGGGACTTGAACCCGCACAGCGCACGGCGACTGATCAGGAGACCGAAGAGTCTACTACTGCGGCCACCGCTGCTGCCTGAAGTAGAAAACTATGACAATCAAGGAGGCCATAAAGGTGCCCTACAATTGTAGGGACGACTGTCGATACGGGCCTAAAAGTAGCGGTTACTGATGTAAAAAGCATATTTTGTCTATGGACTTAAACCCAAAAAGGGAACGCGAGATACAATGCTAGCTTTTCAAAATTTTCTCTCTACGAAAATGACAATTAGAAGTTTCCTATCCACGAAAGTCATTTAACTATAATCAAAGTTATCCAGTGTCTGTGAACCTCATAGCTACTTTTCAGCAATGCCTTAACATTTTCAGGAAATTGAAAGCCATTAAGTTAATGTTTCAAAAATTTTTGTTCAAAAATGATTTGATATGCCATAAATATCGGCAAAAAAATAAAATGAAATAGCCGTCCCCTTTGTTCCTCTATTGACGTCGGATCCCAGTGTAGTCTGCCTGTAGCATCCTACACTATCGCAGCGACTCAGAACATCTCCATCAGATGCTACTGACGCCTCAACGGGTTATGGCCAGACAAGAGTCTCACCAGCAATCTCTATCCAGAGATAAATAAAATACTACTCCATCTCTGACACTATAGTTTTGATATCCACTCCCCTATTATCCTCTTAGCTCTTTGAGCGGGTATACCGTGTCTTAATCTATCCCAGTGCCCACACTGGCGATATCAACCATCTCCTGCTAAACTATCGAGAACCTGCCTACACTGGAACTCAAGGTTGAAGGTAACTTTGTAGGAACTTAGTGCCTTGATTGCAATCTGATTGCCGGAGGAGATTGTTATTCTTCTCCTATGCCCATCCAACTCGAGATTACCAGATACACAAGACAAAATCGCATAAATTTCCGCTTAGCAAATTGTGGTGAGTATCTACCTAGAGGCAGTGAGAACCTAGTTCTAGGCCCAAAGACCCCGGCACTTGTCTCATCCGCCTCTTTGGTGCGAGAGGGTAGTAAAGATACTTTCTTAAAGTTCAGCAATTCACCAAAATCAATAGTCACCGTATTTTGAAGAGTTTATTTTTTGGTCAGGTACTTCATAATTTAGTTTTCACTTGAGGTACGAGTATTAGTGCGGGTATCAAAGTGGACATTGTTCCTTGAAGCACTAATCTCAACATCTCTAGTTTCTCATTTTTAACATCTTTTTGAGGTCAACCATTTCAAGACAGTCTACCCAAGAATCGGATTCGGATACAGTTGCTTCAGTTACCTCAACAGGCGAGCCAATCAAAAAGTCTCCTAGGGAGTATATCATACCAATTGCAGTGGAAGGAGGTGGATACGTTACTCCAAGAGCAGGCAGTTTGGAACCCAGTGAGACTGGTAGTAGTGCTAGCACCATGACAAATAAGAGCAAGACTAAGTTTGGAAGAGCAAGGAGGCTAAAGTAAGTTTACTGAATCCTATCAACTACTTTTGGAAACACAGTGAAGTCAAAAGTGGTCAGGAATACTTGGATTATTATTTGGGGGAAAATGTGGCTCAGTCAAAAAGCTTGGTTTCCAGCTTTAGATAAAGTTTAAACTATCCAAGGTGTTGTGTAATCCCAAAAGATTCAACATATAAGCCGAGCTAGATTCACGTTAGTTTCCATAGTAATTGAGGAAATAACTATGTGATTATCTGTGACCTAATAGTATATTACAAAAAAACGGTTTTGGACGCCTTTATAACAAACAGTGTAAGATAAGGGAGAAGATAACAAGCCAACAGAGCTGTAGAAGGATTTTGTTCTGGAGTTAGTTAAATTCAATATTTAAGAAAATGAGAATTACCTATATAATAAACTGTATGATTCTCAGAATACATTGAAATTATTAAGACAAATTTAATAAAAATACCAATGACAATGACAAAAATGTCAGGGATTTTTATTTCAAATTCAGTGCAAACGCTTTGACCTATGAATGAAATTAATACACGAAAAATGTGTTGACCTTATCTCTAGTATATGAAATATGACAAAAAATCGCTGCAGCTGAAAAATTGCATTCAGAATTACATTTTAGCTTAGCAGAATATTTTTCTTAGCATCTCATGTAATTTGGATCTGTTTTAGTTCATGGTTCAACGATAGAGACTCTGAAGATGAATCTTCACCATTCTCTTCACTACGACATGGATCTGTAGGAAAAGACAGTGATAATGAAGATTCCAAGAGGGATATCTTCCATATGCATAGATTAAGGTTGGTAAACTTTCATTGAAAACACCAGTATTTACTAGTCTAAGTCCCACTTATAGGAAAGGTTTCTTTCTACTTGTCAAAGTGATATATGATCAAGATTGTTAATAATACTTTTTTATAATAATTACGCACATTGGATATATTTTAATTTAAAAACTAAGTTATATTTTAATTTTAAGTCTAAACAAACAATTTTAGGAGCACTAGACCAAAGAGGGCCAATTTAGAACATAACGATTCTTTAAGCTCTGGAGAAGAAGACGACGATGAACAGTTCGAAATATTGACAGCTGAGAATTTATTTTCTACTCTGCTTGCCAGGGTGAGTAGATAGTAAAAAAATGGAATCAAGTAGCGTATATGATCATATAATTAATGGGTGATTCGCATTGTGTTTCCACATTAAAAGCATGAATGAAAGATGATATTAAGTAAATGATCGCCGCGGTTCATGTGGCATGACGTAATGTTGGTAATTTCGCGTCTGATCTCTTGTTTCAGCTCCGCAATGGTGTTCGGGTTATTCTTGTAGATGGTATTCCCCCAAAGAAAATAATCTAAGGGAGTTAAATCACAGGATCGCGGCGGCCAATTGATATCGCCGTTACGTGAAATAACGCGACCTGGAATCTTGCCGCGAAGTAATTGTATCGTTTCTCCTGATGTGCGACAGGTGGCACCGTCCTGTTGAAACCAGAGATATTCGATGTCCATATCTTCCAAATTTTCCCCGAAAAACTCTGTTATGATGTTCCGATAGCGAATGCCATTAACCGTAACAGCGTTCTCCGCATGATCCTCGAAAAAAAAATAGAGCAATAACGTCTCCGGATCAAAAAGCACATCAAACACTCACCTCTTGAGGATGCATTTTCACTTCAACAATCTGTCTTGGATTTTCCAATCCCAAAAAACGGCAATTGTGAGTGTTTACGAAGCCCCCAATGTAAAAATGTGCGTCATCGCTAAAGATTGTTTTCATTGGAAAATTTACCCCTTGTTCTCAACCATTGATGATGGTCTCTAGGCTTCAATTCCTGTGTTATTTTTATTCTGTATGGGTGTAACTGCTAATCTTTTGTTAAAATCTGCTGTGTACCAAGGGATTTTTATGTTAGCGACGGATCCAGTTTTGCTCGCATGTTTGCACCAAATTTCAAATTGTCCTCTCACAAGGCCGATTTTGTGCGCCAAAAAATTCATGTAAAGCACGAAATGTATTTTTCCTTGATCGGCCGTTTTCATAATAAGCTTGGATAATTTTAACAGGTTGTTCGGTCATATATTGCTCCATGACTGTTTTGTTTATATTTTGACGTTAGAAATGTCACGTTGTCGTTAAATTCAGTGGCGTTCAAAAAAAAATTATTTGTAATGTGGAAACTCAGTTTGAATCATCCGTTAGTTGCTTACATGTATTAAGGTAGAGTACTTTATTCAATGCTTGAAGTGTCCAAAAAGCGAAAAAAAATGCCGAAAAACAAAATTCGAAAAGGGTTGCTAGCTACACCTTCAAAAATTCGACGGAAAAAGTCTGAAAATATTCTAAAATCTTTCCATTTTGAGTCAAATTTCATTTTTAAAGCCTGCAAAACTTCGTCATCCTTTGATCGCAGTAATATTTGGTCAACATTTCATCAAAATCCCTGCAGTACTTTTCGAGTTATGGAAGCGCCAACGATTAGTGACATGGTTTTTCATGTTGTAGACGTCATATAACATCAAAAAATATCATTTTTGAATTTTTTCATGATTACAATACTTCTATCCAGTTGTGTGGGAATCTATCTGAATTTTTCCCGAATCCTCTTTAATTGGCGTGGAAACTTTGAAGGATGAGTTTGAGGAAAAATTGGCATTGTATTCCCCCCACATCCGTGACCATTTCTTTATTGATTGGCCAAATAATGTAAATAATTAATTTACCGTAAAAAATTGATAGCATTGATTCAGTCTAAATCTTTTCCAGGTAAGAGATCTCACCCAAAGATTGAACGTCGATGACGGTATGAGACCTGCCTTCCCTAGCAGTAGACTGTTGAGCCATTTCGATCATGGCAGCAACTTCTGGAACAGAATGGATTCTCCACTATCTAGGTAATTTTTATAGCATAGTGACGGAATGTATTTAATAATTTTTGCTTATTTGCAAGCAGTCATTGCATAATAACATATAGGAAAGACGTTAGAGATCTTACGTAAGTCAGTTACAGTAAAAAGTGTTATAAATAGAAACTTGTAGAGGCTTTTTTGAGGTAGGTTGTAGATTAGGCAAATCTAGTACTAAATTTAGTTTGCACATATGCCACAATTTGGAACATTTCTAATAATTATAAACAATTTACTTTTTTCCAATTCTCTCAATTTCAATCGATTTATTGAAAGTATATGTGAAAAACGTTATTACAGAAATTGCAAAAATGTGCATTTAGGAGACTTCAATATAAATTTTGGCAGGAAAGATTTCTGTGTTAGAGAATTTAAACAAGTACTAAACTTCCATGGATTATGGCGGAAAATAAATGAATATACAAGGATTACAAACTTTCGAAAACAAAAATAGATTTGCTCGTAACTAATGAACAAAATCTAATTGATTAAGTTAAGCATACCCCAAAAATAAGTGATCACTCATGGATATATTTCGAAGTGGAAAATATTTTCAACGAAAACAAAATTAAAGAAATTACAGTAATTGATTTCACAAAGTTACAAGAAAGACCTTTACAATACAATATACCTGAAACTATCAATAGTGCCGGCAACTACTTCGAACAAATTATGGATAATATGGATAAATTTATGAGTCGAGCTATGGTCCAGAAAATAGTATATGAAAGAATGCACCCAACACCCTGGTTTTCACAGATATAAACGCGATGACGACTACAGAAAATGTTTAGTAATCCAAAGTGAAAATGATTGGAAACAATATACAAAATCAAGAAATGAGTGTGTAGAGTGTGAAGAAGAAATACTATGATGAGAAGATCAATGGCAGTAAAAATAATTCTAAGTCGATGTGGAAAACATTGAAGAGTATTGTTTCTCAAAATAGGACTGATGTGTCTAAAATGCGTGTCGAGGATGGGGTGGCGATGGTAAAAATAATTATAGCAGAAACATGAACATTTATTTTATAGACAGTGTAAATCAAATAGTGAAGACGATTGATGACGGTGATCCAAACTTATGTTCATTACAAGTACGAGGGATGTCTTTTAAGTTTTGCATATAGAAACTTAGTAGGCCGCGCGGATCGAACGTCAGTACTGAATCTTTAGTAAACTTAAATTCAAAGTTTCACAACGATACGTGCAGTGTTCTCACTACAGTGAATTTTTAAGTGCCACCAAGTCATTAGAAAAATGGAACTCAACCGAGAACATTTTCGCGCCATAATTTATTATAACTTTCAGAGACAATTATCGCAACAAGAATGACTTGCTGAGTTATACTGTCTGTTTTCGCCAACGAATCAGTGCACAATTTCCCATTGGTATGGGGAATTCAAACGTGGACGGGTGAGTCTTAGCGACGATCCCAGGATGGGTGCACCAAAAACGGCAGACACCCAGGAAAACATGTGACATATCCTTGAAGATATCAAAGACCTCAATTCAAACAATTTTACATGAAGAATTAGGAGTAAGAAAATTAGTTTCTCGTTGGATACCCCACCTGTTGACTGAAGAGCAGAAAGCAGCCAGGGTTAATTGGTGTCAAAAAACGCTTGACCGTTTCAATTCCGGAAACTCAAAAAATGTGTACAGCATTATTAGTGGTGATGAATCGTGGATTTACTGTTATGAACCAGAAAATAAACGACAGTCGGCTGTTTGAGTGTTCCAAGGTGAAGAAAAGCCAACAAAAGTCATATTGCAATAATTCCTCTTAATGAGCAAAGAACTGTTACTGCGAATTGGTATACCACCATTTGTTTGTCAAAAGTCATCACCGAGCTTCGAAAAATCAACCCCGAAAGAAGAATCATCATCCACCAAGACAATGCAAGCTCATTACAGGGAATGACTGAAATGCTTAGTCAAACGTTGTAATAATATAACTGTTACGGTATTTGCCGGCAAATCGTTGACTGACTAGGCATTTCAGGGCATGACTGATTTCAGCGTTTGACGCCGACATATACACGTGACGGTTTGACCTCAGCCATTATGTATTTTCAGGTATACACATGGCAGTCAAAGTGTTAAACGACAGTGAAAGAGAACACATAGTCGACGAACAAAAAACTGGATCGATGAGGTTTGATTAGGACGGAATTTTTTTAAATTTAATAATAAATGGCAAAACTATTAGCTATGTTTGTTAAATCACTGACTGATTTAGAAGAACTTGAAAATCTATCAACTATTGAAAAATCCTTCGAGATTTCATCTTTCCTAATAACCTCCACATTATCTAACACGTGCCCTAATTGACTTTGTAGCATTAATGCTAAATAAATCTTCAACAAACAAACAAGTACGGATTATGTGTGCCTGTTGAATAAGAAATGGACGGAATACAGAAACTGTCTTTTTACTATAGGCATTAACCCAAAAAGAACTTGAAGAAAAATATAATCTAAAAAGCCTGTTAAAATCGGATAATCAGTTCGAAGAGCTTCCAGGATGGTTTCTGAGGTCTGTACACATGGTTTCGTCATATCGCTATTAAGGGTGAATACTGTACTCCCTTCTTCCACTATAAAAATCTGAACGACACCCTGATTAGTACCATACTGCTTCGCTCTCGATTCGGTGTGCAAGCCGCAGCTAACACCATGAAAAGTATCAACACGGTCTCACCTGTAGCCTGTCTCCTACCACCCACCACCTGTCATTTATCTTCTCCGAGAATAACCATTGATTAGCAAATCCTACTTGAAGATAGCCGACCTAATACTATATTTCCAAATAATGATCCGAGATGAAATATCTTGGCGTCATCTATAACAGCTATGTTTCTCCTATCGGCGATAATTAAAAATCTACGTGGTAAAGGTTTATCTCTGTAGACAACTGTATGCCCATACAGCTCGCTACAGCGCCATGCATGAGACACTAACCTTTTCAAAGAAGATTTGTAATTATTTCCGAAAGGAGAAAAATAGTTGTGACAAATTCTCATAGACTAGTAATATAGCTTTCGTTCCTCCGACCACAGACGGCCAACTAAGGATAGCTGTTTCGTGCTATTTGGCAACTCCACAGCAGTCTCAGGCATATGCCGCCGATTCTGTAGCACCAGAATCGGTGGCATCTAGCGGCCACAGTGGTGATCCGGCCGACAATGCGAACTGGGATACTGTTCCAACAGACAACTTGCTGTTTTCAATCTCCCAGGGGCCTATTTTGGTAATAGATGGCACTTTATACTGACTTATTTCGATGAATTCTCATACACGATGCCAGGATGTCTCATTTCAGCTCGGATAATTTGTCGGTCACCGAAGAACAGTACATGGGAGGTTATCTTCAGGTAGAATAAGTTAACCAATCGTATAACCGTGACCTAAGAACATCATAATAGGGCAGTTGTGAAAAGTATCTGTAAGCACATCTGCAGGTACAAAAAGTTATGATTTTCCATGATTTATTGGCAAATTCAGAGTTTTTATTCTAGTAGCTTCATTTACTTAATTTCTTGTTATTACAAACATTCATTTTTAATCAACTGACTGATCCACTCCCATACTTCGTAGGCATTCTTCATTAGGCAGCAAATCAATGACTAGACCAACAATAACGAAAACTACCACAGGCAGCAGTTTTGGAGTGCCTTGGCGCAGGTCGGTGAGCCGCGAGACCTCATCAGACCTCAACGAATCTTTCCAGGGCCCTGCTGGTGGATCGAAACGACCTATAGGAGGTAATTTTGCCCTTATGTCGCACTCTTAGTAGATTTGTGTTGTCGGATTGCTCTCTGTAATCGAGGAGCTAGTTTAACATTGAAGGCCAGTCAATGAGTAGATAGACCATTTACAAAATTATGGAAAGTTTTTAAAAAACCTATTATCTATCGTATAAGTATATGAATGAGTAACATTTTACAACGAGATTCTGTTCTGCACAGAGGAAAGGCTGACTAGCTCTGAAATTTTGAGAGTTGACTGAAAAAATGAGTCAAATGTATTCACTCATCACTTTTCAAATGCATTAGTATAAAGCCATTCAAATTCTAAATTTCTTAAGTGCCTGCACGAAATTAATGTTTTCATTTGTCATTATTGATGATTTCATTCTTTAAACAATAAAGCATATTATTTATATATTTTACCTGTCATTAACAAATGCAACCCAAAAAGTAATTCCAAATAAACACATTCTTATGTCCTTTGAAAGATTCTTGAACTACGCCCTGAAGCGACTAGAAGCTTGCAAAACGTTGACTTCAAACATATTTTTGCCTGCGCCTAAAAATTGTCATAAAATAAACTCTGAATGTTTTTTGTCCATAACACTGCCCCCACTAAATGCAGATTTTTTAAAAATCAGTGCAGCCGAGATTACGAGATTAGGCAAACACAAAACATCAAAAAATTCTTAAAGAAATTCTTGAATTTTCACTATCACAGTACCTCCTTTGCTTATATAAGATAATACTTGAAACATTGCAAAATTCAAGATAGCACATTCTAGCTCAGACTTCAGGAAAAAGTTATTGGATTTTTGTCAAATTTTAAAAATGCAATAACGTTTTCCTGAAGTCTGAGCTCTATATATATACAATTAAATTCTTTATTGGGAATTGGCAAAACTTAAAGCCTAGTGAACCTTCTTGACAGAAACCTCGAGCTTTCGACAAACTATGTTGTCATCTTCAACCATTTGTCAATAAACCCGAACAAATTGAAAATAGGAGAAAGTAACCAAGTTATTCAAAACTGAAACTACATTTTTGGACAGAAAATTTCTTTTATAACCCTATACTTGTTGGACGTGGTGAAGGTGAATGACCCGGAAATGTGACGTGGTGGTCAGATGACCGATGTACGACATGGAAAGAATGTGGAAGTGTAAAAATTATTGCCAACTTAAAATCCTGAGGTATAGTACCTACGAGGGGCGTTCGAATTTTTTTTATATTTCCCAAAATGCTGAATTAGTGTACTTTATATGGACCATATGATGGTAATGATACACCAGAAAAGATGGGTTGTGTGAAAAATTTTATTATTTATTTTTATTTCGAAATATTGAAAAATTCCTTCATTTTACGGAATATATATTGGAAATTTGTGCTCTATTATTGTGAAAATGTTGGAATAACTGGAATATGTAGTCGTTCCAATTTTTCGTAGTAAGTAAGAATAAATGATACTAAGTTGCTTAACATCAGTTTCTTTATTCATACAGTGATCTGTCATGAATGACCTGTAGTGTTAACATGTAATGCCAAAGCACATCTCTCTGGGTGTATCTGTGTCTGAATATATCCTGCCTTTTAATGATCTAGATGTTTGGCCTATGTAAACTAAATTACAGTTGTTGTAATTAATGCACAGTGTTGGTTAAGTCAAGCAACGGTCATTATTACAAGTGTTCTCCTCGCTTTTGTTCTAAAACACCATTTAGCAGCAACCTAATCGGCGAGTAAGTAATTGAAATCTGTTTCAAATTCGTAGCTATTTTCATATTTGTGTTTTAGCTCCTGAAGATGACAACATAATTTGTCGAAAGCTCGAGATTTCAGACAAAAGAGTTCACTACTCTTTAAGTTTTGCCAATTCCCAATAAACAATTTGATTGTATTTTTTTACCCAACTGGTCGTTGACAATGGCAATTACTACTGTTCGTACATATAGTATATATATATATATATATATATATATATATATATATATATATATATATATATATATATATATATATATATATATATATATATGGTGGTTTGGATTCGGCCAGACATTGGAGTCCTTTGAACATGAAAACCACTGGATAAGTTTCAGGAGTTCTGTTCTGTATATCTTCTCATTGACTGGCGTTATACATAGTTAATGTTACCCTCTCGTACTGCTCGTTGTAGTTTGTAGGGTGTTTTTCGTGCAACCCCGTTTTTGTGATTTTTGACTGGAAACATGTTTTTGAGTTTTGAATAGATTTTTTTAATACATAGCTTTTACTATTGATGTGTTATAGCCAAGTTGCGAATATCAATCTGACTATATTTTCAAAATATAATGAGCTTACATAATTATTTAAAATATTTACAGAAATCGAGGAAGTAGTTTAATTTTTTTAATTATTTTTTTATTCATTTCGTGAGACGTCCATATGAATAGTGTATTGTAGATAGTATTCAGTACTTTCTAAGTATGTATACTGAACGACGAGTTTGAGAAAAATCTGAAGAAATACAGTTGAAACATCCACAGGTTGACTTCAAGTTTCGTATGACTTGTGTACATAATGAATAGAAATGTTGCAGGTAGATCCCACGATTTCGTCTATCCATATTTTTTAATTTCCCGTGAATACGTATTGGCATATTTTATCAATTTTCTATTGAAAATATATTATGTAAATAAAAAAAAAGGTTTTATCAAACTTTTATAGCTTAAAACCTAAAAAACTACAAACATTGGATACTCCTACAAATTCATACAAGAATTCAATTAATGTGCTGAAAGTGACGTACTTAAGATCAGTATGATTTACTTGATGTATAACAGCAACATCCAGAAAAGGTCCTCAAGGCGTTCTCATACACACAGAAACAAGATAAAACCTCTCGCTGTGTTTAAAAAATGAACTCACAGCGTACACAAACCCAGGTTGCGTTGAAACGCGATGTAAACAAACGAATGTCCAAATGCATGGCGCGTGCGAGGCTACTGGCCCGACTGCCTGTCGCATCTTCACTGACACAAGCGTGAAGCGTACAGTCTATTTCATGAGTGTCCGTTATGTTTTGACATCTACTGAGGTGAAAAGCTAATCAGCAAGTAACATTTTCGTATTAGTCTATAACGTTGGCAATAATGAATCGGGTGTAAATCTAGTAAAACTCCGTATTCAGAGCTGTAGTTCACAAATCTAGATACTTTTAGTGACTGGAAATTTTGAATATAAAATACACGAAGTACACATAGAAAAATGTTTATTAGAAAATTATCTGGGATTTATTGACTACGAGGTAAGGCAATATATCAGAATGCATGTCCTTTCTAGTATCTGTAATTTTACCTGTAAAAATAATATCGACACGAGCTTCTGGTTAATTGTCCGCCATCAGTGTACCGTAATTCAAATACAGGTTAAGTGTGAGCAGAACTTCTCACAAAAACTAACAATCAATGTTAGGTAAATTGAAGGCATATGGTATATCACGAAGTGTTTTAGACTGGTTTAAAAATTATTTGTCTAAAATTATGCAAGTTACAAAAGTTAATGACATTATTTCATCAAAAATACAAAAGGTGTTCCACATGGTAGTATGCTGCGACCACTTCTTTTTTTTTAAACGATTTGCCTGTCATAGTCAAAAAATGCAAAATTCAGATTTTCTCCGATGACACTTTGATTTATATAAGTACTCAAAATATTCAGACTGGTATCTTATATGAGTATAAATGAAGACTTGAACTTGAACTTGTTTCAAAATGGATAGCATCTAACAAACTCATATTAAATACAAGTAAAACAAAAGCTATGTTAATCGGAAAAATCAATGTACAAATGTTCAACTAAATACTGATGGTGAAGATATTGAATCATAGAAAATTTTAAATACTGGGATTTGTGTTGACTCTCAATTAATTTTTTAAATTCATTATGAAAAAATTATAAATAAGATTAGTTGTAAAGTGGGATGTTTATCAAGAGCTTGTGGATGTTTGGGTTCATATAGCAGAAAAATTATTTATATATGTACTATCATTCTTACAAACTTGTACTGCTCGACTATTCTATATTTAGCTAATAATTCCATTTTTGAAAGATTGCAAATTTGACTAGACAAGTGCATCAGAATAGTACCTACTGAATAAAGATAAATATTCTCCAATTAGACAAATGCCTAGCAAATTAAAATGGCTCAATGTAAACATTTTTGTCAAATATCTTGTAAGGATATTCATTTATAAAGTAAAAAATAAAATATTTCCACCGTGTCTAACTAATTTAACATCATCAAATCCCAACCACCATTTACATAATAGTAGAAATAAATATGTCTTTCATTTAATGACCAAAAAGTATAACATATGCTACAAATCTGTATTCCATGAAGGGAAATTGTTAAATCTACAAACAATATTTACATCATATGGCATGAATTCTAAGTCTGCTACTACTACCGCTGAAAAAGAAGATCTTGCACCTTACATCAACCTAGATTCGTTTGTCCATCTGACATCTTTTGATAGTTAAATCTTGAATTTAATATTTTTAATACCTTACTCTATTTGTTAAAACCATAAACTACTTTTCTTATTTCTCTCCCACAAGCGTTCCCTCTTGATGTTTGCAGTGCTCTCAACAGTTTTCCCAAGCCCTGTATTCACGAACAATGCATTGTCTAGTTGAGTACATTTTATGACTTCCTGCAATAGTTGTACATTCCAATAAATTGCTCTAATTTTTTATATTTTCACGCGAACCAAGCGTGTGTACAAAATTACATCTCAATCGATTACGGTTAACTGGTTCAAAATTCAGTTCCATTATTTGACCCACACATACATACAAACAAGTTAAATAAAAGCCTGTAAAAATAGAGGTACAATTCGAAAACTGAAGTTAAATGAGGATTGTTTTAAAAAAAACTCGCAATCTGGCTATAGCAGATAATGTGTCACACTTTTTTCTTATGTTTTGTATTAAAACATAAATTATAATTTTGAAAAGGGAAAAGTGTTGCTATT